CCTTCAACGCAGCTGCCTACATCCTAAGCAGGCCACTTCCTCCTCATGTACCCGCGGAAGGCAGCCCCCAACAGGGGGGCTCCCTACTCTCACCCAACCCTGCCCACACTAAGCCCATGGGCTTGGGGCCTCCCCCGGCGCATCACCCAGGTCTGCTGGATGGCAGAGGTGGATCGCGGCCTTCCACTCCTCTGCCACAGGCCCCAGAACTCGAGAGTAGGCCACACCACCCTGCTGCTGGGCATGGGGCTTGGGCGGGAAACTGATCTCAATCTTGAGGCCCCAGAAAAGCAGCAACTGGGGCAGAAGCAAGACTTCATCTCTTGCTGACAGCCCAACTTTTCAATAGTGCTTTCCTCAGAGCCAGCCTTAACCTGCCGTTGAGTCCGTTAAAATGTCTGCTTAAAGCTTTTACCAATAATTAGATCATCAGGGTTGTTTAGTGTGGGATCAACCCATAACAAAACTGCCTAGCTTCTCAGGGGCCTTGAATTTCCAGACCCTTCCTCCTCCCTGCAGCTAGTCTCTCTTCTTTATTCTGGGGGCTGGGAAGGATCCCAAAACAGAGAACTTGGCCGAACCCTGGGCTTTGGATGCTAACTACTGAAGTATCAGCATCTGTAGGATGCTGTCCTTGAAGAAACTGCCGCAGACCTCCAAACGTAGCCCTAAGGCAGAGGCCAACGTGGAAGACCAGCCCTTCTCCAAGCCCCATGGGTCTTTGCAAGCTGTATGTTGTAGGGAATCTGAGAACTGGAAGGGGGACTACAACCAGAAAGTTGGTTCCCCTGCCATGGGAATAAAGTAGCTGTTTTCCACCCCACATATCTGGCCTTTTATTCTTTTCTGAGTTCTGATTTTATTTATAGGAATCCTCTTACAGATGCCAACATTGTAAGTCTCTTTTAATGATACATTAATAAGCCACCTTCACGGGGGGGGAAACTGTGATTCGATAAAGGACAGAAATCAATCAATGGCTGTTTGTTTAGTCATTGAGCAGACATTTCTTGAACACCTACTCTGTTCCAGGCCTCTGTTCCAGCGTCCAGTGTGTGACACTGCGGTACAGCAAACAGTATGGGCTTTACTCTCTTGGAGTTCACATTCTGTCTTCTAGTGGGGACCCAGCGACTCTCCCCTACCCCTGCCCCTCACTGAAGAGGCAGTATTTAGGAATTACAGAATCCTAGGCTCATATCCAGCTTTGTCACTCGCTAGATGTGGGACATCAGGGAAGTTACTTACCTTCTCTGAGCCTCAGAGCCCTCATCTCTTCAAAAGAAGCAGTGAAGCACTCCAGGGCAGGGTTGGTTGGAGAAGTAAGTGTAGGGTTGGGGAGGTGAGCTGCCCTGATACAGAATGGGTGAGCAGTGACTTGGGAGTGGGAGAGCAGAGAGGATGCTGCCCCCTCCTCCAGAAGGCCTGACTCTTCTGGGCCTGACCTGTCTGGACCTCCCGGCCCCAGGCTGCAGCTGGGGTAGCCTCAGTCCAGAGTGACAATCCACAGCCATGTTCATATCCCCACTCCATACTAGGTGCTGGATTCTGTATAAGGGGAACCTGTTGCCTCCCCACCATGGCCTGGACAGCTGAGGAATCATCAGCTCCGTGTTAGAGATGGGGAAACTGAGGCTCAGCCAGGGTTTTGAGGTGCCTCTTGGGAGGGAGAATGTCTCTCCCCAGATAGCTGTCCTTCCCACACCAGGCACTAGGGGACGACAGGGGCTCAGTAGAACTGAATTTCATGGGCTCTGCTTACCGTCCTAGGTGCCGCTCCCTCCAGAGCTAGGAGGACAGGGTAGGAGTGGTGTGGTCCCGAGGGCTCTGCACCACAGGAGAAGGCAGTAGGCACAGGCCCGGGAGGAGAAGAGGGAAAAGCAGGAGTAGAGGTAGGGATTAGAGAGGGCCCTGGGGCGTCTCTCACTCTAGGGGAACTGGGCTCAGGCCCTGCCTTTCTCTCCTCTCTCTCTCTCTATTTACTCCTTTCACGCCTTGTGTTTGCACCTGTGTCTCTCTGTATCTCCTTTCTCTCTGGCTTTGTGGATTTCCTTGTTTCTGCCTACTCAGTGATTCTCACTTTCTCCGTATACTACATGTGTGTCTGTGTGTGTGTGTCTGTGTGTCTGTGTCTCTGTGTGTCTGTCTGCGTGTTGCTTGTGTGTATGTCTCTGTGTATGTGCTTGTGTGTGTGTCTGTGTGTATGTCTATGTGTCTGTGTGTCTCTGTGTGTATCTGTGTGTGTGCTTATGTCTGTGTGTGTGTGTGTCTGTGTGTGTCTTTCTCTGTGTGTCTGTGTGTCTCTGTGTGTCACTACGTGTGTGTCTGTGTGTGTCTGTGTGTGTGTCTGTGTGTGTCTTTCTCTGTGTGTCTGTGTGTCTCTGTGTGTCACTACGTGTGTGTCTGTGTGTGTCTGTGTCTGTGTGTGTCTTTCTCTGTGTGTCTGTGTGTCTCTGTGTGTCACTACGTGTGTGTCTGTGTGTGTCTGTGTGTGTCTGTGTCTGTGTGTGTCTTTCTCTGTGTGTCTGTGTGTCTCTGTGTGTCACTACGTGTATGTCTGTGTGTGTGTGTGTGTGTGTCTTTCTCTGTGTGTCTGTGTGTCTCTGTGTGTCACTACGTGTGTGTCTGTGTGTGTCTGTGTGTATGTCTCTCTGTGAGTGTCTGAGAGGCTCTGTGTGTCTCTGTCCGTTATGTCTGCCTCTGTCTTATCTTTACCTCTCCATCTTTCTCCCTCTTGTGATATCTCTACCTCTCTCTGTCTCTATCTCTCTTTTTCCCTGTTTCATATGTTTCTGTCTGTCTCATTTTGTTTTTGTCTCTGTCCCGCTCAGTTTCACATCCTGTCCCTCCCCAGCCACCACCACCCAGCACACGTGGGCTGAGGGTCTCAGTCCCTTCCTTCCCACCTCCTCATCCCTGGCAGCTGCTCGGCTTCCCACTACTGGCCTCTCCTGCCCGCCTCTCTTGGGCCTTGCGGGAGTAGGGCGAGGGAGGAGGGGAGGACAACTCAGCAGACCCACCCCTTTTTGCCTTTCCAGGCTGGGAGGCTGGGCCAGTGGACCTTTTAACCAGCCTGGGCAGGCTGTTCCGGACGTGAGCCCTGGACGCCGAGCCTGACCCAGCAGGTCCTGGCAGCCCGGCCAGCCCGGCCAGCATGCAGCAGCAGCCTCTGCCCGGGCCCGGGGCCCCTGCAGCTGAGCCAACCAAGCCTCCCTACAGCTACATCGCCCTTATTGCCATGGCCATCCAGAGCTCGCCGGGGCAGCGGGCCACGCTCAGTGGCATCTACCGCTACATCATGGGCCGCTTCGCCTTCTACCGCCACAACCGGCCCGGCTGGCAGAACAGCATCCGCCACAACCTGTCACTCAACGAGTGCTTTGTCAAGGTGCCCCGCGATGACCGCAAGCCAGGCAAGGGCAGCTACTGGACGCTGGACCCTGACTGCCACGACATGTTTGAGCACGGCAGCTTCCTACGCCGCCGCCGCCGCTTCACCCGGCGGACAGGTGCTGAGGGCACCAGGGGCCCGGCCAAGGCACGCCGTGGACCCCTCAGGGCAACCAGCCAGGACCCAGGAGTCCTCGACACCACGACCAGCAGGCAGTGCTCATTCCCACCAGAGCTGCCAGACCCCAAGGGCCTAAGCTTTGGGGGTCTGGTGGGGGCCATGCCAGCCAGTATGTGCCCAGCAACCACTGATGGCAGGCCTCGGCCACCCACGGAGCCCAAAGAGATTTCCACGCCCAAGCCTGCATGCCTGGGGGAGCTCCCCGTGGCCACCTCATCTTCCTCATGCCCAGCGTTTGGCTTTCCTGCCGGCTTCTCGGAGGCTGGGGGTTTTAATAAGGCCCCTACACCCGTCTCGTCCCCGGAAGCAAGCATCGGGAGCAGCTACCAGTGTCGGCTGCAGGCACTGAATTTTTGCATGGGGGCTGACCCAGGCCTTGAGCACCTCTTGGCTTCAGCAGCCCCCTCCCCTGCACCACCCACCCCTCCAACCTCACTCCGGGCCCCGCTGCCCCTGCCAGCTGACCACAAGGAACCCTGGGTTGCAGGTGGCTTCCCTGTCCAGGGAGGCTCCAGCTACCCGTTGGGGCTGACCCCCTGCCTATACCGGACCCCAGGAATGTTCTTCTTTGAGTAAAGGCAGCCTCGTCTCGGGCAGTCCCTGCAGGTCCCTCACCCTCCAGGCTGAGCCTGGCTCTAGGACCTGGAGAACTCTCGAAGGACCCAGCCCTGGTGAGCCAAGGACAACCACACAGAAAGCCAGGATGGAAACGGTGCTCAGCCTGGCCCCTGGGGCCTCTGGACAAACTTGGGGGTGAGGGGAAGCGGGGCCTCTTGGGATTGACTCTGTGGCTCTCAGGGCCAATAAAGCCATGTGATGATGAGGGTCAGCTTGCCTGATGGCTGGGGGCTGAGGGCCAGGGCGCCCGCTTGTATGTGGGATGGCTATAGCTATGGGGTTGTGCAGCAGGGGCAGGAGACCCTGGGTGGGAATGTCTCACATGAGGTTTTCTCCTGCTGGGGACTTTCTCAGGGAGTTTCCCAGAAAGGGAGAGGAAGGGGAGGTAGGGAATGGGGGGCAGAGAGAGGAGGATACAGGCCAGGGAGAGACTGGGCAGGGGCAAGCCTGGGCTGGCTTGAGGGACTGATTCTCCAGTCTCAGACACTGGGACTCAATAGCCTCCATAGGCACAGTCGTCATAACCCTGACAATTTGTGACCCTGATCCTGTCCCGGGCTTGTATATATCATCTCACCTGTGTGATATGGAAGGTTGGCCCCGTTTACAGTGGTGGAAACAGGCTCACCAGCTCCAACTCTAGATGGCAAATGGATGGCAGAGGGCAAATCAAAACCATACCTGTGTGGCTTGCAGCTTGAGTGGGGACACGGGTGGAGAAGAGGGTCAGGGCAGAGCTGGTGGTGGCCCCCAGA